GTTAGGACTCCAATATATGAATTTTGGGAGGACACACTTCAACCCATAACACATGGAAGAAATGTTGATGATAACGGAAAACCAATATGCCATACGATTCCAGGGGTGGGTTTAAAGGCAGGCGCGGCAGGGAGTAGAAAATACCAGGTGCCTTTGGATTGTGCGATTTAAGGAGCATGAATTCTTTATACTTCTGTGAGCATGTTCCCTCATTTTTAAAAAAGCTTTAAAAAATAGGTCAAGGATTCTCCACATCCAATTGGATAGAGATCAGAGGCTGTGGACCAGGTTCAGCTTAGATGAAACAGGCTCATACGGAGACAGATTGTCTGAAGAGAGTGAATATTTGTGACTCATGTTTAACAGGCATGTCCTGAGCCACCAAAGGTAGCTTGTCCCCCCGCAGAACAGTCTGGGGGTGGCGCTGGGTGGGATTGCCCTCCCCACCCCCACTGAGGGGCAGTCAGAAGCCAGAACTCTTCTTGGGGACAAAGGTCTCCCGTCCCAGGGCTCCCGCACGGAGGGACTTGGAACCTGCTTCCTTGTTTGCAGCTCTAGGACACACAGCTTCCGGGGGGGATTTCACAGCTGATGTGTGCGAAGATGCTATCGTGAGCACTTCTATTTTGGAATCCCCTTCCCATCTTCTAGCACATTCTTTTGATTACCCCAGTGGTGGCAAACATCTTCACTTAAAGATCGTTCCGTTTAGAGGCAGCTGAGGGTCGTTTGCAGGCCTGGCAGTTGAGCGATCAAACTAGAAATGCCACTTGATCCCTGAAAAGAAATGGGGTTCCAGTCTCGCCCACCCCAAGGCCAAGCCCAGGAGGCTACTGAGTGCCTGGAAGGCGGCTGGTCTGAACTGAGATGTGCCTACGAGCAAAACACACACCAGGCTCTGGAGTTTAAAGAACATTCAAGAATCCCTCGATGATTTTTTTCATGTTGATACATGCCAGAGTGGTACTATTTGGGATATAACGGGTTAAATAAAAATATTAAAATGAATTTCCTTCATCTCTTTTTTTACTTTTAAAAAATGTAGCTACTGGGAAGTTTAAAGTTGCATTATATTCCTGTGGAACAGCGCTGGTCTAGAAAAAGAGGATTCGTTTCGTTGGCTCATTAACCAGTCTTAGAGGTCTGGAAGGATTCTTGAATCTAAGAAGTCCCAGACAGCAGAATCGTCGTGAGAATAAGAAGAAAGCTCTCCAGATGAGTAAGGAAGGATGACACGTGTTCTGAGGTGTAGGTTCCAGTGTGGTTCTTTAAAAGCTTCATGTTTCGGTTGTCACGTGTCATGCGGGCCAGGAAGTGTTCAGACAGTAGAGCTCTGGTGGCTGACACACGGGGAGACAGCCCCTCGGCCTGGAGGGGCCTGGAGGGCCTCAGACTGGTCGGTCTGCAGGCAGCTTGGGGCCGAGCTGGGGTCGGCCATCTACAGCCCATGGACCAAACTGAGCCTTCTGCCTGTTTTGGACAGCCTACAAGCTAAGAATGGTCTTTACACTTTTAAATGGTTAAAAAAATATTAAAAAGAATTTTTTGTGACGTGTGAAAATTATATGACACTCAGACATGTGCGTCTGTTAGGGCCATCCGCCTGTTGACTGGCTGCTTTCACACCGCGGGTAGGGGTGAGTTAGCCAAGACAGCGACCTTGTGGCCCACAGAGCCAAATCTATTTGCTGTGTGGCCCTCCAGCTTGCCGATCCCTGGGCCAGGGGGTGGCTTGGGGGTCCAAGGATTCAGGGCCTTGGATGCGGCTGAGAACAGGGGACTGTCCATGGCTCAGGGCCAGGGAGCAAGGGCCTGGGTCCCCAGGACTGTGATTGTCAAGGTGATGCTGACGATTGGAAACTCAGTGACACGGGAGAAGGCATGTGAATCTTTCTGGGAAAGACACGGGAATAGGGGGGCCTCTCAGGCGGGCAGGGAGTGGTTAGAAGAATGTAAGAAAGCTTGGGTGCGTCTGGAAATGCCCAGATGAGCTGGGGGGGGTGAAGAGCAGTTCTTCATGGGGTAGGAGGGTGCCCCAGAGAGCCAGGTGGGCTGAGGACCGGGCACTGAGCCACCTGGTCCTGGGACAGTGACGGGCAGCCCTGAGACACCTTTCCTCTGCTGAGCCAGCTGGGATCCCCACCCCACCCCTCTGCCCCTATCCAGGAGCCCAAGCACTGGGGGTGGAAATAACTTGATTTAGGGAACATCCTGGGTTTGGGGAGAAGTGTATGAAATGCAGAAAGTTCAAAGAACAATATAATGTACCCTACAACCCTCTACCAATTGATAATTCAGAACATAATTTTGTTTATTTTAGTTTATTTCCATTTTGTTTATTCATTCATTTGCTGTTTCTTAGATTCCACATATAAGTGAAACCGTAGGGGTATCTGTCTTTCTCTAACTTATTTTATTTAGCATCATACCCCCTAGGGCCATCCATGTTGTCATAAATGGCAATAGTTCTTTTTTATGGCCGAGTAATATTCCATTGAGTACATGTGCCACATCTTATTTATCCACTTCTCTATTGATAGATACTACGTTGCTTCCATAACTTGGTTATTGTAAATAATGCTGCATTAAACACAGGAATGTATATATCTTTTCTGATTAGTAATTTTGTTTTCTTTGGGCATATTCCCAGAAGTAGAATTGCTGGGTTATATGGTATTTCTATTTTTAGTTTTTTGAGGAACCTCCATACTGCTTTCCATAGTGGCTGCACCAATTCACATCCTCACCAACAGTGCATGAGGGTTCCCTTTTCTCCACATCCTCGCCAACACTTGTTATTTTTTGGATATTGTTATCTTTTGGCTAATGGCCACTCTGACTGGTATGAGGTGATATCTCAGTGTGGTTTTGATTTTCATCTGTGGTGTGGAACGTCTGATGGTTAGTGATGTGGAGCATCTTTTCATGTGCCTGTTGGCCATCTGTATGTCTTCTTTGGAAAAATGTCTATTCAGGTCTTCTGCTCATTTTTTAATTGGATTATTTGTGTTTTTGGTGTTGAGTTGCATGCACTCTTTCTATATTTTGGATATCAGCCCCTTACTGGATATATCATTTGCAAATATCTCCCTCCATGCAAGAGGTGGCTTTTTCATTCCGTTGTTGGTCTCCTTTGCTTGGCAGACATTTTTCAGTTTGATGTTGTCCCATTTGTTTATTTTTGTTTTTGTTTCCCATGGCTGGGGAGACATCCAGAAAAAATAATTACTAACGTTGATGTTCAAGAATTACTGCCTATGGTTTCTTTTAGGAGTTTTATGGTTTCAAGCCTTATATTTAGAGCTTTACTCCATTTGGAGTTTGTTTCTGTGTAAGGTGTAGGACAGCGGTCCAGTCATCTCGCGCTCCTTCACATAGCTGTCCAGGTCTCCCAAAGCCATTGATTGAACAGCCTGTCTTCTCCCTATTGAATATTTTTAACCCCCTTTGTATCATAATTGACCAGAAAAAGTTATTGTAGTAAAATATACGTAACGCAACATTTACCGTCGTAACTACTGTAAGCATGCAGCTCAGTGATGTTTGTTGGGTGCGTTCACATCGTTGGGCAGCCGCCCCACCGTCCTCGTCCAGTCTCTTTGTCCTCCCAGCGGAAGCTTTGCTCCCAGTAAATGCTTACTCCCTCCCCTCCCCAGCCCCAGGTGCCCACTGTCCTGCTGTCTGTCTGTGAATTTGGCTCCTGTAGGTCCTCACGGAAGTGGGTTTGTCCTTGTGATGGGCCGATCTCACTCAGCACCACGTCCCCGAGGTCCCTCCATGTGCAGCAGGTGTCAGGACTCCCTGCTGACACTGAATAATGTCTCGTTGTATGGCTAGGGCACATTTTGTGTGCCCACTCCCAATCAGTGGTTTTCTCATGGTGGCTTCAAGTCTTTTTCCTTTTCTTTCAAAGGGGCTGTGTGGGAGTCCCTCTTAACCCCAGACCCCCAACATCCCCACAAAGCTGATCTGCGCCCTGCGCAGAGTGGCTTGTCTTGCACATCCATGATTTCTGCCCAGGAGCAGCATGGCTTCGCCTGCACCTCTTCTTTGTGCAGTGACATCATGCCCACCGGCCACTCCGTGGCTATTTGGGGGTCCACGTGCATGAGCTCCATCAATGGGAAAAGCCGGTGGTTCTTGCAGCTGTCGCCTAGGCCTTTGTGTTTTGCTTGAATTAAAATTGCTAAGAAGCCAATTTGCTGGGTGCTGGGTTTTCATTTGAGATGGAGGATCTCTTTCCACGAGTCTCTGCCCTTCCACTTTGCTCTGCTGTGAGCTGCTCATCTTTTCTGTGGGACATTCCTCCTTTTGGGGTGAATCTCTAGAAGTTCTGTCTGTATTCTGGATCCGAGCCTTTTGTTTCTAGTGTTTTTTTTTTAAAGAATGAGTTGTATGTAAGCTTGTGTCTTCCAAATATTACTTGGATGCCCTTCCCAGCTGAGTTGACCCATCGCGTGTTAGGACATCAGGCAGGGCATTGGGATGGCGAGGACACACAGACGGGCGGGGGTGGAGGAGGCCGGTGGGGGGAGGGGAGGACAGAGAACCTGGGCGTCCTGGGAATGCGGCGCTGGGGGAGAAGTTCTGGAATGGAGGCTCGGTGCAGACACGGGGCTGAAAACTGAGCAAAGAGTCTGTCTGGAGGTTTGAGACGGCTGCACGGGGATGGGGCTCCTCTAGACCCCGGGGGCATCTGCAATGCCTGGAGACATTTGGGGGGTCCTAGTGGGAAAGGGGTGCTAGTGGCCTCTGGTGGGTGGAGGCCAGGGCATCCTACAGTGCACAGAGCAGCCCACTATTAAGAATGACTGGGCCCCAAATGGCCAGGTGTCAAGAACCCAGCCCCCGCTGTCTATGGCCTGTGTTGGCAGGACCTGTTTCTGTAGTGAACCAGCATCTGTTTCAAGCCCACCCGTGTCAGACAGGCTGGAGTCCCGGGGTCGTCAGCCCGAGCCCGGACCTTGGCCCCCCTGTACCTCCTTGCTCTTCCTCCCCAGGCTGGCCTGGACGAGCCCCGCCTGGGCCGAGGTGTGCAGAGGATGGAAACACCCCCCCAGCAATGTCTCTGGGCCGCCTCCTTCGCCGGGCCTCCTCCAAAGCCTCGGACCTCCTGACCCTCACCCCAGGTGGCAGCGGCGGGCCCTCCCCGGTCCTGGATGGCGAGATCATCTACTCCAAGAACAATGTCTGTGTGCACCCACCAGAGGGGCTGCAGGGGCTGGGGGAGCACCACCCAGGTGAGCCTGCGGGAGGAGGCTTGGGGGGCCTGGGCCTGGGGGCTGGGGCGGGGTGGGCCATAGGACTGGGGGAGGGGGGTCTGAGGGGACAGGCCTGGGGCCGCTTGTGTATCCGAGTCCCTGAGCCCCAGCTTCAGAAGCTCCTGTGTCACTTCCTCATTTGCTCTAGTTTCTCTGTCTGCAACAGGGGCGGGTGCCATTGGACTCATAGGCATGGGGGCGGGCAGGAGGCTAAGGGGGATGGGCCTGTGTTTGCAAGTCTGGAGGGGGCCTGAGAAGACTGCGGACACATCGGAGCGCTTGGGCTGCTGGGAGCAAGGGGCTGTCGGCCTGCGAGGAACGCTGCGGGGACCTGCCCAGGAGCACAGCGCTCCAGCCAGGCATGGCGGCTTCCTCCTTTCTGCAGCCCAGCGGGCTGGGATGAGACCCAAGGCGGTATTGGGCAGGCCTTGTGGTCTGGAGAAATGGAAGCCACTGATCCTGTGTGCCCTCTGTCCTGCAATCCCACCGTCTGGAGATCTGGGAGAAAACACTCTGCTAGACTCTGCAGGCACAGAAATGGGGCAGGGACCCTTTCCGGCCCTTCCCCGCGGGAACCCATATTATCTGGGGCCATGTCAGGGGCGCTCCAGCCCACGGCTCCCATCAGTCCCTGGGAAATGTCTCCTGTGGTGACCGTGACCTCACTACCTTCTGCCAAGTCATGGAGAAAGGAACCACGTGTCTTTTCTGGGGCTCAGGCTGTCCTCCGAGCCTGCGCTGGCCACTGCCCTGAGCACCACGGCTAAGGCCACAGCGCGCAGCAAAGCCTCACGCATTTGGCTCTCTTTCCAGGATGTGTGGTTGACTGGCTTCCTCCAGGCAGGGGCCGGGGATTGTTAGATGTGGCCACACAGCCAGCGTGAGCTCCTGGGCCAGTGGGCAAGCCCTCACCTCTGCTGCCCCAGAAGGAACAGAAAGCTGGGTCAGGGGTACCCGAGGCCTGCGTGGCCCTTTGTGATTTGTGCAAATGACTTGTGACAAGTAAATGTCTTGCTTTATTTATTCTGCACAATAGCCTCAGGAGAGCTGCCAGGCCTGGGCAGGCCTGTTTTCCGACGAGAAGGCTGGTGCTCGAGGCCAGGGTGGAAATGGGGTGAGGGCGGCCTCTGGGCTCTCTTCATTCCTGCCCATAGACTCCCCAGGCTGCTGAAGGACCCTCGGGGTCCCCAGGGTGCAGCTAAAGCCCCACGACAGGTGTTGGAACATTTAAAAGTTATAAATTGCAGTCATATCTGGGCTCTTTACTGCGTGCAAATTGTGTGTCAACAAAGTACTGAATAAATACATAAATAAGATGAAAACTTCCAATTATGCTAATGAACTATTTCTGAAAGTATTCTAATCTCCTGCCTTGAGTCTGTGGTCAGTCTGGATGGTCAGGTGCAGGTTTAGAATCATTGGCCCCTCCGGGTTCCAAAGCTGAAAGGTTGGCTTCCCACCCAGGTCTTTCCTGCCCTAAAGGGGTGCTCACCTGTGGACACCCCAGCCAGTCAGCAGCCCCCACAGACAGCTCAGGAGTGGACTGGGCTGCATGGACAGGGAATCCCAGGACCCCGGGTCCCCAGAGTGTGCCTTAGAAGGGGGCGTGGGGTCTGGGTGGCATGTTACCTTGACCCTGTGGACTCCTGACTGCAGGACCGACGCTGAGGACTTGGGTGCAGGGGGCAGAGGTTCCAGGCTTGGGTCTGCGAGTGTTACATGTTCTGGGTATAAAACAAAAAGAACAGCAGCCTTTGGAGAGCTTTGGGGTATATTCCCGCTGTGGTGCGTGACAAGGGAGAGGGACCGAGGTCTTGGGCTTTCCTCCCGGTTCCTGAGTGTGAACTGAGGGTGTGAGAACGCTTGGCCTCACCTGCACGTTACCCTGACACACCCTGGCTGGTAGCAGCTGAGTTTCCCACCTCTTTTGGAAAGGGGAACAGTGCTAAGGAGATTCTGGGGGCAGATTCGCAGAGCCCAAGGATACCCAGCCCTGCCCTGAGGGCTTTTCAGGGTGGAGAGCAGGAGACTGGCCGCCCAGGGAGTCCGTGAGTCAGGACATCCCCAAGCGGCAGGTGCCGCGGCAGGAAATGCTGCGTTTCCCCCACACCGAGTGTTCAGCAGCCAGAGAGCCACGTGGGCCTCGGAGAAACGGCTCTTCTCCGTCCTTGTCAGCCGTCCCCTGTGGGACATGGGAGACGTGGCATCGCCTTCTTCCGGAATTTGCCTTAAGGAGGAAATCCTGAGGGCCCCGCCGACTGGGAAGGCCCACACGCCGCCCTCTGGGTGGATTCTTTTTGTGAAACAAAAAAGTCAGCCTCTGCCCCGCTGTGCTGGGAGGCTGCAGAGTGCGGCTCCTGGGCCTCTGTTCTCCTCTCCCACTGCCCAGCCTGCAGCTGATTGCAGGCCGGAGAGCCCTGGGGCCCCCAGACTCAGGCCTGGGAGGGGTGCTGAACTCTTGGAGGCCTTTCGAGCCTGGAAAAGCCCAGGACGAGCCTCTGCTTTGGGCACCTGGGGTCCCTGGATCTGCTGCGTGTGTCAGTCATGCGCGCAGTGCTCAGCCCTCTCACCCTAGACCGTGTCCCTGGCCTGTCTGCTTGGGGGCCAGGCTCCTCTGAAGCTCAGCCCGTTTTACTAACTGGGGTGTGGCCGCTGCAAGAAGCCGGCCAGATGGCCCTCACCGACCCGCCTGTCCCCCAACTCCTCACAGGCTACCTGTGTCTGTACAAGGAGAAGGATGAGCTGCTGGGGGCCACCCTCATCCTCGCGTGGGTCCCCAACTCACGGATCCAGAGGCAGGATGAGGAGGCGCTGCGCTACATCACCCCTGAAAGCTCCCCTGTGCGCAAGGCACCCCGCCCGCGGGCCCGGCGCACCCAGAGCTTGGGCGCCCCTCGCCAGCGCTCCCCCACAGAGCCCAGGCCCGGCCTGATCCCCAGAGACGAGGACATCCTGCTGGTGGCCCAGAGCCTCCAGGACACCGTGTACGTCAGCCCTTCGCCCGAGGACGGGGAGAAGCCGGCCCGGGGCCTGGGAGTGGGTGGCCCGGGACCCGCCTCGCAGCCGGCCCACAGCGACTCTGGGATCCTGTCTGCCATCAGCTCGCAGGATGGCACCGAGGAGGGCCGGGAGCCGCGGCCCGAGGCGGGCGAGGAGGAGGGCTCCCTGGAGCTGTCGGCCGATGGCGGGAGCCGCGACAGCTCCTTCGACTCGGATTCCGAAGCCTTCTCCTCTCCCTTCTGCCTGTCGCCCATCAGCGCCGCCCTGGTGGAGAGCAGCAGCTCGGTGTTCCTGGAGAGCGAGAGCTGGTGAGTGCCAGGCGGCCCTGCCCCAACCCCAGGGGCTAGGCTGTCCCCTCCTCAGGGCCCCGTCACTTCACGCCGTGGGGTGAGGGAGTCGGGGAGCGTTGGTGGGGCATGCACAGTGGGGGACTGCTGGCCCTGTCACCCTGGCAGAGCCCCTCCAGCCAGGTCCTAGGAGTCCTGGTGCCTCTGTGCCTCTGGTCTCATCACAGGAGAGGACTGGGTGGTGGCATAAGGCTCATGGGGTTGGCCTGTTCCCCAGCCAGGCTCTGCACTCCACCCTGCAGCCAAGCCGGGCGTGTGGCCTGCCTGCTCGACCCGAGGGAACCCTAGGCTCTCTCCTCCTCACTCCCATGAGCTGCAGGAGGCTGGAGCACAGCCCCGCGGGGTGCTGGTGGCCTTTACTATGCAGCCTGGGGGCCCCGGGGTACCAGATGCCCAGACACATTGGTGGGTGGGGCCAGGAGGGGCACAAGTCAGCCTGTGCCTGTGGGGGTGGGGCCTGGGAGGGAGGCCTGTCTCGGCTGGTGGCCAGGGGTCCTCAGGGCCTCACAGAGGTGTATCCACGGCATCAGGAACTATGGGCCTGTGCTGACCTGGAGAGCCTTCTGACTTCTGCAGCCTTTTCTTGTACGCTGGCTGTGGTTCTTGCTCCCATTAGATTTCTAGGCAAACAGCGTGAGTAATCTCTGACTCATGTCAGTCGGTCAGCAGGTAATTGTGGAGCTTGTGCTATGGGCCAGGCATGTTCCAGGTGTGCATGGCCCAAGCATTGCCTGGGCCACTGGCACATGCCCTGTGGATTACTTGTTTTTATGCTCACAACCATGCAGATCCTGTGAGATAGGTCCTAATATTAACCCCCATGTATAAAAGGGGAAAGTGAGGATCAGAGAGGTTAAGTAACTTGCCAGAGGTCACACAGCCAGTAAGCTAGGCAAGCCAGATTTGAACTCGGCTGGGTCTGTACCGCACCGGGAGCACAGAGGGTCCTGTGGGGCCCAGTGTACACCGGGGAGCAGAGGAGCAGGGCAGAAAGACGTGGAACATTCTGCTGGCCTCAGCAGGAAGGAATTTAAGATGGATTCTTTCCTGACTTTATCCCCTCAGTAAGACATGGTCCATTAAAACCCAAGGGTGAACTGACAGCATTTGTCTCAAGTATTGGGAGAGAGCATATAAAGGGCAGCAGTCAGCGGCAGCCAGGACCCCAGGGCCCTGAGGAGGTTCGCTGAGCTGTGTTTCCCACCGGGGAACCAGGCTGGGAGCGAATCTCAAGCCCTTCTGGATCCTGCCTCGGGGCGTACCCAGAGCTCCCCCTCGTGGTGCCACAGTGCCGGCGCAGCGATACCTGTGGGTGTCCAGCACCTGGGACCAGGTGGCTGGGAATAAGAGCGCGGTGCCAGCACCTCCGGAGTGTCTAAGCTGCTGTTCTTCGCTCCGCCCCTGGAGTGAGGGGCCTGGCCTGGGGTCCCGCGCCTGGGGTCCTAATGGCAGAACCAGGGCCTGGCATGCTCGGCTCTGTGCGGCCGGCAGATGGTGCGAAGAGCTTGGATTCGGGACTAGGGAGACCCGGTTGGCATGTGCCTGGACGAGCCCCTTATCTTCTTGGGGCCTCCACTTCCTTGTTTGTGAGATGGGAATAGTGACAGCCGTTTTGTGGGGTTATTCCAGAATTTATAGAATTTACTCCTGGCTTCTTCTTTCCCCTCCTTCTACCTTGATGGCTCCCCCCCTGGCTGCCCACGAGGACCCCCTGGGGGTCTGATTCTCAGGCAGTTCAGGAGGCTGTGGTTCTCGCCTGGGGCAGATGATGCCCCCCGGAACATAGGGCAATGTCATCCCTCGATAGTGGCACCTAGCAGGTAGAAGCCAGAGGTGCTGCAAAACACGCCCCAATGCCCAGGGCCGCCCCCAGGCTGGGCCCCCAGGACGGCCCCCACCACAGAGCGATGAGCCTCGGTGTCAGCAGGCTGAGGCTGAGAGCCCCCACTCCCTAGAGGTCTTGATTGCTGCAGGCAGACGTGGGGCCCTAGAGTAGAGAAATTGTTTTTTGAGTTGTGGTAAAATACACAACGCATAAAAATTTGCTGTTTCTGCCATTTTAAATTTACAATTCAGTGGCATTTAGTTCATTCACGGCATTGTGCAAAACTACTGCTGTCTGGTTCCAGAACTTGGTGTCGTCATCCCAGAAAGAAAACCCGTCCCCATTTGCTCCCTCCCCCAGCCCCTGTCACCACGAATCCACTTTGGGTCTCTCTGGATTTGCCTACTCTGGACAGGTCATATGAATGGAGTCATGTGATATGTGGCTTTCTGTGTCTGGCTACTTTCACTGACCATAACCTTCTGAAAGTCCTGCTGTGTCTTAGCGAGCTGGGACTTTGTTCCTTTTTATGGCTGACTAATATTCCAGGCAATCATTCTAGCCTGCAGCTGGGCCTGAGAGCCCCCCTCTGCACCACCTGCAGACCCCTGAGCTAATGCTGGGTGGCGCCGTGGGGAGCAGGAGGCTTTGGCTTCCCCTCGGGAAGCCTTTCTGTGCTGATGCTCTGGAAGCACATTTAGTGTAGGGTCACCGTCTGCCCAGAGCTGCCTAACAGACAGTGCGCTGATTCCTGGGTGTCTCGGAAGGCCGTGGTGTGGGCAGGGAGGTGCCTTCCCGCCTGAGAACTCCAGCAATTCTGTTGCTAGCTCTTCTAGCCTGTGTCCGTCCAGTTATGCCAGGCTTTGTGTTGGCACAGATGGACATGGATGGGACCCCTCTCTGCCCCTGGAGTGTGTTCTTCGGTCAGGGGCTGAGGTGAAGACAGCCCCCGTCTGAGCAGCAACGGTACATGGAGGCGTGTGTTCCAACCCAGCCAGGTGTGACAGGTTGCTGGGGGCTTGAAAAAAAGAGCAGATGTGGATTCTGAAAGGGCTGGGGTGTGCCCTGGAATCTGCATTCTTTGCAGGCAATAATTCTATCATGAGTCAGATTTGGGTACTGGGTGCATCCTGGTGCACATGTTTCTTTCTTTGCTCTTCAAGCCAAGGGCGACGTCCTTGTACACCCAGCACGTTGGAGACCCCAGAAGCAAAGCTGGAACCCCTCTGCTCCTTCCACCCCTCAGCACTCCCGTGTGATGGCTGAAATCCTGGACTAACTGGTAGTCGTGCTGGGCACCAGAGAGCAGGCCTTCCTGACCCGGCTGGGCAGCTCTGAAACATCCTGCTGCCCACTAGGGTGGGCCCTGGGCCTGAGCCATGTGAAAGCTCCCCAGGGGTTTCCAGGGTGCAGCTGAGGGTTGAGAGCCCCACTGAAGGGGCCCAGAGGAAGAGGCATGGCTCTGGTGCCTTGAGCAGGTGTGGGTCTGGGCCGAGGTCCCAGAGCACCGACACCCCTGTTGGCCAGACACCCAGTGAGGGGGGAGGCTTTGGGGAATTGCAGGTGCCCATAGCTGCTCCTAGAGCCAAGGCTCCTCATTTAACTGGGAATGGGGTCCCCGGAAGGGGGGTAAGCAGGCTGGCTCACTGGTTCCCTCTAGTGGCGGAACCAGAGAACTACACGTGGAGTGTCTGGCAGGGGATGGGCCAAGAGTAAAAGTTGCCCCCCAGATCTGAGAGGGCCCAAGGGTACAAGGACGTCACCCTTGGCTTGAAGAGCAAAGAAAGAAACATGTGGACCAGGATGCACCCAGTACCCAATATGTGGCCGGTAGCTTACAGAGGGGGTGAGTGTTACAGTGTGGGTGTGGCAGTGTCTGCTCATGTGCTACCTGTGGGGCATAGCTGGGCAGCCTCTGGTTCCTCGGTGGCAAGACCCCCTGGGCAGTGAGGGCCTGACGTCCTAGACCAGGTGAGGGACCAGGGCCCTCTGGGGCGGAGGACGGGGGGAGCGGGCTCGTCGTGGGGGCGCCTCCGCTGAGGTCTGTTCTGTCAGGGCGTGTGGCTCCCCAGTCCGGCCATAGCTTTGGGCTGGGATGAATGAGGTGAGGTGGGGACGACCGACCCCCAGGCGAGGTTGGTGGCTGGCCCCTCCTTTGTGTCTGTCCCGAGAGGTACCTGGGGGGGAGGGTGTGACTTAACCCCCAGTGTGGTGTGTCAGTAGCCCCCCTTGGGAAGAGTATTGGTGATGGGTGTGAAGGACCGAAACACAGCTCCTAGTCCCTAAACCGGACATCTCTTCTGGGACTTGGCCTAAGAAATAATAAGTTGCAGACACAAAGCTCGTTGCACAGAGATGTTCACCACAGTGTTCTTTACAATGGGGGGGAAAGGAAGAGAACCTCAATACCCAGCACTAGTAGACACGGAGGCAGCATTTAAGGGTCACCTGCCAGTTCAAGGAGTTCATCTGGGGCTCTTGAGCCCCCTGATGTCTCTGTGCTCACGGGTGTGCATGCTTCCAAGGAGGGGGCACCACCCAACTTCCCAAAGGGTCTGTGACCCCCAGATGTTCAGAGCCTCAGTGCTACCAGATGGAAGAGCGCACAGCGTGTGGGATCCACAGGGCGTGGAAAACAGAGCCGGTGGCAAGTTATGGGCCCATTTTGATTAAAATCTGTGAGAGGCCCCGAGCAGCGATGCCCACTAGGACTTGCTGGCAAGACAGGACATTCTAGATCTGTGCCATCCATCCGATAGAGTCGCCCCGGCTTCATGCGGCTAGGGAGGCTTGCCGTGCGCCTGGGGGGCTGACGCTGGAGCTTTCATTCTAGGTACTACCGATTAATATACATTTAAATAGCACACGTGGCCACCCTATTGGGCAGCACAGGCTGACAGGATGTATGCCAATATGTTAGGATAGAGGGATTATGAGGAATTTTTTTCTTTTCTCATTTTTCAAAAACGTGTTGTGATTATAATAAGCTTATGATGAAAACCAAGTTTTAAAAATAGCCATTTAAAACTGCTGCACACTGCAGCGGGCTCACCCTCCAGGCTGTCTTGCGTATGTGTTAATGAGGAAGCCCCCAGGGCTACCCAGGAACCTGAGGTCCTTCCAGTGAAGCTTATGC